TCTCTCTCTCTCTCTCTCTCTCTCTCTCTCTCTCTCTCTCTCTCTCTCTCTCTCTCTCTCTCTCTCTCTCTCTCTCTCTCTCTCTCCCTCTCCCCAAAGACACACACACACATGTCATACACGGACACACACGCATGCAGACAAAAAAAAAAAAGCAGCACCTGTAGTTGTGCTCCCCGAGATTGCTGTGCATCTGCCTGTGCATTGTGCGTGGTATGCCTGCATCATTATTTGAGGCCCCGCATGGCGCACCGCACAGATGCGCCTCAAGTATGAAATATTTGCGCAGAGGCAGTTGAGAGGAGAGGTGAATCAGCAGAGGGGAGTTCGAAAGTTCGTTTCGACTTCAAAAGACGAGATGAAGAGGTGAGCGAAGACGAGGAACGGAAAACAGTTTTTCAAACAATTGGAAATTGGACAAGGTGGTTTTCTTTTTTACAAACAGTTGGCTATGTTGTGTTGTGTCTGCCTGGTGTGCGCTGCTGCTCTTTTTTCCCTTTTTCCCTTTTTTTTTTTTGGGTGGGCTTATACAGAGCAGATATTATCAGGGACTACAAGACGGGCGATAGTCTTTGCTATGGCTTCATTGGTAGGTAGGCCCATTTTATTCCATTTTTTTTTCGTTTCTTTTTTTTTCTTCTGTCTGAAAACGTTTTAGTTTTTTCCCTTTCCCCAGTGTGCCTCAGTGTTTGTCGATTGAAAGCTAATCAGTAGAAACTTCTTAGCATTAGAAATTGAAATGCCTAATTGCACATAACCCCCTTCTAAACAGTTACGTACATTTACATTAACATTTTCTTTTAACCTTTTAGAAGCTTCGAGTTCGGTGAAATTGAAATGAGTCACACGAGAAGGCAGCTTAAAAAAAAAAAAAAAAAAAAAAAAAATCACACGAAGGGCCCCTTGAGACATCCTATTCAAAATTGTAATTCAATTCGGTATGATACAGAGAAGATTAGCATGGCCCCTTACGCCACACTACCTCCGAGCTTCTTTTTGCCCGGGCAGGAAAGAACAGCGAGTCAAGCTTTGCCGAAGCGCCAGCGCGATTTTTTTTTTTTTTTTTTTTTTGGCACCGCCAGCCATTTTGTCCGGAGGCTCACTGTACCCGAAGAATGCCGTATAGGTTTTATATATTCACGACCTGTCTCTTATACACATCTAGATGTGTATAAGAGACAGGACATATGTTGGTTTCCTGCGGATTATGTGCATTACATTTCAGTAATGGATCAGATATTGAAGGATTGACAGGATTGTTAAATAGGCAGGGGGAC